TGACCTTAGTATGTCTTTTTATTTTGGAAACAGTGTGTCTTATCCACAAAAAATATAAAAATCAATTTGGGAACACCGCAACTTATAGTACACGTCAGTCTTACTCCGTTTCCCTTCCCACACCTTCTCTAGCCCTTACACAAAATTCTATTATTTTCAATAGCAAGAAGTTATTTAACCACCTTCCCATTAATTTAAGGCGAATATATAATGGAAAGAAATTCAGAAAGAAAGTGAAAGAATACCTTGTTGGGAGGCCCTATTATAGTGTGGACGAATTCTACCAAGGCTCTATCGAATAATTGACATGTAGCTTTGTGTAAACAAGTTATTGAAACCAACACAAAATGGCTATCAATGTTCATTATGTAGAATTATATATTTACGTTTACTTAATATTCATAAATTCATGTACTTATATTTGTAGCTGTTCAGCTGGACTTAATATTGTTCTGTCCATATACTCTGCTCCGGTGTTTAAGCATTATTTTATAGTTTATATTTGTTAATTGTCCCTTATACATGTTTTACTTTACTAGACTTTGCCAATAAGATGTTTATATCTTGGGTAATAAAGCATATTTTGATTTGAAGTTAAAGTTTCTTTGGTTAACAGTAACATATTTTCAGGTTGGATCGATATGTATGGATATTATCGATTATGAATTGAGAAGATACGACCGATGGAAAGCTGATTTTGAAGGGTCCGAAGTTCCCTCCGACATACCAATTGTGAGAAAGCCGTGCCCAAGCAGTGCCAGTATGTCCGAAATTCCAAGAAGCCGCATTCCCGAGCCTGTTCGTCCCAAGTCGGGCAACTTCACGGATACTAATTTATCCCAAATTATGGAAGGCAGTATTTATGAAGATCTCACTAATTCAATGGAATGTATAGACGATAAGAAATTAACCGACGAACAGAAACTGAAGAGATTCCGAACTCTAGTCAAGAAGCAAGAACACTTGCTTCGCGTTGCCTTTTACTTGCTTCTGAATATATCCGAAGACGAAACTGTGGAGGAAAAGATGTCGAAGAGAAACATTGTTGGCCTTTTAGTTAAGGCCCTGGATAGAGACAATGACGACTTACTCATATTGGTCATCACGTTCCTCAAAAAGTTATCTATAATGCAATGCAATAAAGATGCCATGAGCAGTCTGAATGTTGTCGAAAAGTTGCCTCGCATGCTCGACTCCAATAGTGCCGATCTAGTCCATTTGACTCTGAAGCTTCTGTTCAATCTATCGTTTGACAATAAAGTCAGATTCAGAATTATGAAAGCAGGATTACTGACGAAAATTATGAGTCTTTTGAGTAAGTAACGCAAACATTTTTCTGTTACAATCAATTTTGTTGTGTTTTGATTTGTACTTGTTCCTCGATAAGTGACTTATGACAAATCAAGAAGGGAAACCGCATGGACATTTGGGAAAACTTGAACATCCATAAATTCAACAGTCATAAATCACTTATCGAGGAACAAATACAAATCAAAACACAACAAGATCTCACATTCAATATATTAAACAAAACCATACACATTTCAAGGCCCTTTGTTTGATATTGAAAAACAGTGGGTGCGAGTATTCAATAAGTGGACGACAGATTAATTTATATATTCGGCTTGCTGTTGATATGTTTGCACCTGCTTCCGGGTTTGTCAAATTTGTGAAATGTGCGGCTCTTGCAATCACTTTATTTTTTTTTGTTATTGACATGGCTGTTGAAATTTAGTCTGGAATCAAGCGTAACACCTAGGTTATTGTTTGTTTTACTGATGAACGTAATTAGATCATTAGCAAATAACAAGAAAAAAAAAGGGGCCTAAATTCGAACCCAGGGGAACTTCCTGCTCTATATCACAATCATCGCCTGTACATTGACCAATTCTCACTTTTTGCCTCCAGCTATAAGATAAGATCTGACCAAATCATGTGGTACCCCTCTTACACCTGATCTATAAAGCTTAGATAGGAACAGTTGACTCTGAACAATAATCAAACCTAACTTTATATAAAACTTCAACCATTATTCGAATGTATATCGCTTTACTAGATCGCTTCGCGTACCGCACTGTAACTTCCACTTGACTGTGTCGATATGCTCGTGGCTAGCGTTTATATATCGTAATCGAATGCGGTAGAAAAGTCACCAGAGTTCCATCGAAGTCGGTAGCATTATTCTCTCTACATCTAGAGCGGCAGCGAACATCGTACATTCGCGCGCTCTTAGCTACGTCACAATTGGTTTATGGCTACCAGAGGCGGCCGGAGTTATTTTCTTAAGGGCATCTTTTACAACAATATTATAATTCTTCGCCAAATACCTAATTCTTGAATAAACTGTTTGTAAATTCTTTCGCAAATAAATTGTCACGTTCCTCCTCGACAAACACGTAACAAAGAGACATTCGCCATCGAATACCTATGATGCAATCATGAAAAGCATTCTCTCTTTTTCTCTGATATAAATCTTCGAGGTAAATTACGGGCCACTGTTTTGAATTGGAATTTATTCCTTTCATCTATATTACTGCCCCACCCTCAGTCCCAGCTAATGATACTACGTCGCATTTATGACTAGATTCAAACTTCTAGTTTTTCAGGCGATGACAAACATCAAGAAATTGTTCTGAAAATATTATATCACTTGAGTTATGAGGACGAAGTCAAACACCAGTTTGTTGATTGCATTGGACTAGTAAGTATTAGAAACTAATTATTTAGTTTTCTTGCATTTTTTGAATGTTTCAATTATTTGAGCAAAATGTTCTGTAATCCACACCGTTTGATAATTGTGAAAGCAGCTAAGATCACCTTTTGAAATATCTTGTTAGTTATAATTTAAAAAGGTTTGAAGAATATTTCCTTCAATTTTAGATCACAGACATGCTGCTTTTGAGTGTCGGAAATGAAAATGATAAGGCAATGGTTGCGCTATGTATCAATTTAGCTACTGATCCTTCCAATACCAAGCATATTATCAAAAAAAACAGACTTCAGTCCTTGATGATGCGAGCATTTACTTTTCATGATGCAATGCTCATGAAAATGTTGAGAAACATTTCGGATAACCCTTCTTCTGCACCTTCATTCATAGTGAGTTGATTGGTACACCATTAAAAATTCAGTGATGTATATGGGGTCTATTGAAAAAATAAGGTCAATTTTCATTTTTCTCAAAGAATATTTATTTATTCATCCTTTTCTATTTTCCCCGTTCAAAGTATTCCCATCAAATATAATACACTTGTACCAGCGTTTTTCCAATCCTCAAAGCAGTTCTGATATGCACTATTTGATATATCCTTGACCTCTTTCAGTGATTCGGTTTTTATCTCCTCAATCGTCGCAAAACGCCATTGTTTTATGGATTTCTTCAATCTTGGGAACAGGAAAAAGTCGCAGAAGGCCAAATCTGGTGAATATGTTGGCTGGGGCACGATTATGGCGTTGTTTTTGACCACTGTCAAAAGTGTGTTCTGAGTAGTTAACTCCATTTTTTACTCAAAATATTATGCATATTCTTTGATCCATTTTTTTCAATAGCAGAAAATCGCCACTTCTAACTTGTATGCCTCTCACCGATAAACTAAATATGCTGAAAAGCTGAAACTGAACATACGTTCGAGATGAGTGTACCAACGTAAAAAACGCGCCCGAAATTTGAACATTCACCTTATTTTTTGGAAAGACCTCACATTTTATTGCATTTTTAGTGCTAGTACAATGTTAAATTCGTATATTCCTGCAGGAGTTTGTTGGCGACATAGCTAAAGCCATTGTTGATTCGAAAGACGAAGATTTCGTTCGAGAGTGTATTGGCATTTTGAGTAATATACACCTACCTGATTTAGATTGGGCAGAAATATTCAGACACTTTGATATGGTGAAGTGGGTAAAAACTGTTATTACCAGTAATAACACAGATGCTGAAATGGTTTTGCATGTAAGTTTCATGCGGAATATAAATATCGCTTGGAAATGTATTGGAAAATTTTTACAGGTTGTTATTCTTCTGGGCACAGCAGCATCTGACGAAGGATGTGCAAAATTGCTTTGCGAAACAAATATTCTAGGTTTGCTAATAGATTTACTAAAAACGCATCAAGAAGATGATGAGATCGTACTTCAGATCGTATACGTATTTTTTGTGACATTAGCACATGGATCAAATATTGATTATATAGTAAGCAAAACAGGTGAGTTCCTGCATTCAGATCTAAGGCTTATCTAAATAAAAGATTTCATGTGTTCTGAGATTCCATGATTATTCCGATGGACAATCAATTTCAAATATTTAAATTTGCGGTAATAATGGCAGCTCACTTCCGTTAGTTCCTTTTTTTTCCACAGAGGGCCCTTTAGGTGTCAAAATTGAAATGTCCGGTACATTCTAGGGATAGTCTATTGTATTATTGATAATTGATTATGATTCTCCTCTCTTCTCTTCTTTATTGGCCGATGCTTCCTGTTCAGGCGCAATTGGGGATTCTCCTCTCTTTTTCTTTGATTTTTTCTATGGCCGTTGTTTCTCATTCGATCGCATTTGGCCAGTTCTCCCTGTCCATAGTGAACATAAGCTTCGTCCGGGGGCGCAGCGGTCTTGCTCGAAGCAATGCACTTTTACTATTAACAAAAACACTACTTTTTACTCGTGAGGCCTTTGAATAATAATGAAATGCACATGTTCATATATTTTATAGAACTGACGACCTCTTTGAATCCGCCGATATCCAACCAAGTTACTGGCGCAGGGGGTGCGAGTCTTCTCATTTTTCACTTCAATATTCATTCAAACGGAACTTTATTTTAGATTACACTAAATTTTCAACTTGCACCCTCTGCACTACACTCCGACCGCAACATCTACTTACGTTCTTTGAGGGCAATCGTTATCGGCACCTCTGTCGCGATTGGAGAGGAAGTCAATTAATTATGGTTGTAGTGGGATTCTTCAGAATGTTTGAAAGATAAACACCTGGCGCTAGCGTTTTGGAAAAATTCGAATTCAAGGACAAGAGTTCAAATTGTAGGCTATTTTCAAATTTGGATGTTTTGAAGCAAAAATTGTTTATAGAAATTTCTTTCACTATTTGAGTTGTATGAGGACCACATCAATTATATAAAATGAAAGTACATCTGTGTTCGCTATCGTGTCAAAAAATGGCTTAGGGTGGCATGACTGTAAAAATAAATTCCGACATTTGGCAACATCGCACGAAGCACTGTCAAAAGTCAGTTTCAAGTCTAGACAGAACAGTGTTTGTACGTTTGTAGTTATTTAAGTGTTTTGGGCTTAATCAACATTTATTGAAAAGAACGAAATAAAACTAATAAGTAATCTATAGAAGATGAAGAATAATAATTCGATATAAAAATCCAGAAGTTATTTAGAATAAGTTGAATAATACCTGCCAGCCGTATACAAACATAACCTTAAAGTTTGGAGAAGCACGTGCCGATTTTCAGAATGGAAGATCATTCGAATAGTGTGAAGTCAAAGAAAAAAAAGATAAAATCATCCGAAATAACTACATTACAAAAGTTGGGTGATTTTTCTGTGGAGTCGTCCGAGAAGATTGCTAAATTGGATACATCGGAATGGCCATTGTTATTAAAAAACTATGACCGTTTGAATGTAAGAACAAATCATTATGTACCCATACCTACTGGTTCATCTCCTTTGAAGCGAGACATTTCTGAATACGTTCGATCAGGATACATAAACTTGGATAAACCTAGTAACCCGAGTAGTCACGAAGTTGTGGCATGGATAAAGAGGATTCTGAAGGTTGAAAAGACAGGACATTCAGGTACTTTGGACCCTAAAGTTACTGGTTGTTTGATAGTGTGTATTGAAAGAGCTACAAGATTGGTAAAATCCCAACAAGCTGCAGGTAAACAATACGTTGCTGTTTTCAAGTTACACTCTGCCGTTGAATCTATTAAACATGTTGTCCAAGGGCTGGAAAAATTGAAGGGAGCACTATTTCAAAGACCTCCACTGATATCCGCTGTTAAAAGACAGTTACGTGTTCGAACAGTTTATGACAGCAAATTGTTGGATTACGATGAATCTAGGAATATGGGAGTATTCTGGGTCAAATGTGAGGCTGGGTCATATGTACGTACATTATGTGTACATCTAGGTTTGAATGTCGGAGTTGGAGGGCAAATGCTAGAACTTAGGCGGGTCCAGTCTGGCGTAACTGGTGAAGAAGATGACATCGCAACAATGCATGATGTATTAGATGCACAGTGGCTATATGAAAATCACAATGACGAGACTTACCTCAGAAGAATCATCAAGCCTCTTGAGGGTTTACTAATCAAACATAAAAGAATCATAATGAAAGATAGCTCGGTGAACGCTGTTTGTTACGGAGCAAAAATTTTACTTCCTGGTGTTCTCAGATATGAAGACAATATTGAATTGAATGAAGAAATAGTAATTGTGACTACGAAAGGTGAGGCCATAGCTTTGGCAATAGCTCAGATGACAACTTCGACTATGGCCAGTTGCGACCATGGTTGTGTTGCTAAAATCAAAAGAGTTATAATGGAACGAGATTTATATCCAAGGAAGTGGGGACTTGGTTCCAGAGCAAGCCAGAAGAAAATATTGATTGCCAAGGGGCAGTTGGATAAATATGGCAAACCAAATGAAAACACTCCTAAGGAATGGTTGCATAGTTATGTTGATTATTCTATACCTGCAGCTGCGAAAGAAAATGACGAGGAATCCGTAAAGAAACGAAAATTGGAAACCGATGAAACAGTACCTACAGAAACGGTTTCGCCGGAAAGAAAGAAGAAAAAAAAGAGCAAGTCAAAAGGCGAAGATTCCGCTGAGGGCTTAACAGAGGGTACTACAGAGAGTGGAGGAGATGCTGCAGAGAGAGTAGACTCTACATTAGAAGAGGAATCTAAAAAAGAGAAAAAGAAAAAAAAGAGTAAATCAAAAAGTGAAGAGAGCGGAGGAGAAATCTATTTTTGAATATGTTATACTGAAGTTTATGTTTCTCATATATTTTCATGGTATAAAACTATGACAACTGGCCTATGTTTTACTTTTCAAAGTTAATTTTCATTTTATCGGAAGCTAGTCTAAGAAAACAGTTCTGAACACTTTCAGTTATATTATATGAGCTTGGTAATGAGTGAAGCAATCGTACTCATTTTTTGAGAGCACCAAACTTATGAAAAGAGTTTTCGACAATTTTTGATAATTTCAGTGAGAAACTCTAGAGAGAAGTGGAAAATAATTTAATATGTACTGCTTGAGGTACTAGGGTAAATAGTAAAAAAAACACAGTTGTAATTACTCTTACTTGTCGATACACATTGGAAGTTTCAAGAAACACTGCTGTGGGTCCTTTTTTCTCATATTTGGTTGAATAAAAAATCTAAAGAACCCATTCGGATATCCTGAGACAAAAATTAGTGACTCTAGAAAATGTATAAGAACTGGAAAGTAGTGGTTAAATATGTTAGGTTATCTGGGTGAAAAATGAATTAAATCATATGTGGAAGGCAGTGTGTGATTGAAAGGGGTCAAACTTGTATCATAAAATAAGGAGAATATGATTAGACGTACCTATACCCCAAAGTCAGCCTCGGATTGTTCACTTACAATATACCAAGCATTGTGAATGAAATTAAGGTGCAATATACCGGTGACTGCTTCGAGGTTTGCAGTTCACTTGATAACTCTAGAAACCAATATATTTTTGTCCCTAATTCATAATCTAAACACCAATAAAATGCTATCCATAACTTTCACACCAAATAGTCCTAGTAGTGATTGTAATTTTAGCATAGGATCAGTAACACTGGAATGCACGCCTCCAAGAAAAGTCACATAAATAATATTGCAACAATTTTATCACAATAGTGTTTTTGTTTGAAAGCTGTATAAAAATGTTTCACAAAATGTAGCACTACTGCATACTGCGGATACATTTGAAGTCACTAGTTATAGTATCATTTTTTGGGAATGTCTGTTGACATTCGGTCGGTAGCCAAGCGGTTCTCAAATATTCAGTCTTCAAAAACAATGTTTGAGAAAAATTTCCAATTTCTCAAATAGAGAATTGTAAGGTCATATTCCTTTTCATAGAAGTCGTTTTCATAATACTCTTAATACGGTTTTCTCAATTTAGTGATACCTTTTTACTTTTGAACAGAAAAATATGTCCTTTTTTTTGTTATTAGTGTATATTTATTTATTCAGTAGGCAAGCCTAATATACAAAACAAATTATAAATTTATAAATATCTTACAACATTAATGAACTATGTAAATATAATGAACATTTGAAAGTACATTTAAAAAAAAACAAAATATACTTACATTTTCGACACAAAGTAGCAACTTATAATGGCATGATTCACAGATTAGTCAATATTCCTCTTTCAATAGATAATTTCAATAAAGAACTTAATATCATTAAGCAAATTGCGGTTAACAATGGGTTTAAAGCCGAATTAATAAACAAAATACTTGCCAAGAAAGTCTANTTTTCTCATTTATTAACTCAATAAGTCTCTCAAACGAGGTTAAAAGTATATCTCGTTGAATGAATAATTTAGGAATCATTTACATCAAAATTCTCATTCGACTTCGAACATTTTGTTAACGAGAACAAATTGAAACTATAAACATCGAAAAATCTCACAGAAACTTTTTTGTTCCTCTTGACAAGAGGAACAAAAAATCTCACAGAAACTTTTTTGTTCCTCTTGACAAGAGGAACAGAACACTTCAAAACAGTTTTGTTTTAATTACTATAGTTGAGGAAATCCTGGTTAAAATTCGGAAAAATCATATAGTATTATCTTGGAAAAATTCAAGTTATGAGTCACAATTTCCTTTGAACTTGTTTTGTAAATCATTGAGTTTCTGATTCCGTTAATACTTCACAAATTTTTTACGAAATTCTAGTAAACAAGCGATTGTCTTGAAATATTTTCCCAGTTTGGAACCATTCTCGAAGAATTCACATTATGGGTTTCCCATTATGATTTGAAAAAAACTTTCAAGTTCAGTTAATTGACACTAATATCTGGCCTGCTTTTGCACGTAAAATTCATATAGTTTAAAGCTTAAACAAATTTTGAGGTAAAAAGCTTTGGTTATGGTGTACATACGTGAAAAATCATCTCTTTCGACTACCAAGCTCATTTGTGCTTGTTTTCCGGCTGAAATTGACATTCTAATTTTTCAGATCTTCATGAAGACGCAGAGTCAGAAATAATTGCAGATCAGGAACTCGATTGTGATTACTTTGATGATAAAAATCAAGATGAGTAAGTTTGATACTTGTAGTTTATTGTTTAAGAAGTGAAATATTCAAACTTTCGCAAATTTATGCGAAGAATTATGTTGTTATCATTTTCCCATCATTTTGAGCTGCTACTCTTTATGATTTATTGTTTTTTATTTATCTAAGGGGCAGCACCCAATATACAAACATGTTTTTACAAAGGTGTACATAAATTATTGAGATCAATATTAAAATCAAACCCAAGGACTATAAATGAGTGCAATGTGATTCAGATATATACACATACACACATGTGTATATATACGTACGTATATGTACACATGTGCACGTATATATACACGTTTGTTTAGAAGTGATAGCAAACTTTAAGCTACTTTCAGGAATATTTAACAGATCCACTTAAATATCATACAATTCTGGGTAATGGAGAGTGTTTTCTATAATTGCATTTATGGAAATCAATTGCAATATTGATCAATGCTATTTCATGATAGAAGAAAGAAATTTTATTGACCTCAAATTACAATTTCTCTTACATTCAAAAATATCTGCAATAACAAAATTTGCTTAGGTCCTACTAAAAAGCTTCATAACTTTTTATTCTTCTGAAAATCAAATCAATTAGTTTTTTGCGGCTTCAACACAATTTTCAATTTCCTGGTAATTCCAAGTATTAATAAATCTTATTGTTTCAGAATACTAGATTTGGAGACTTGAGAACACTGCCTGAAACTTTCGCTTTATTGCCTGAATCATAGCACAATTCTGAATCACATATGGGGCAAATTCTAGTCATTTATTGAATAAGTGTAATAATTTAGGAATAAATTATGCTTTACAAAGTAATACTATTTTTCATTATTATTTTACATATATTTTTAATTGAAGTTTTGGAAATCCTAGATTCAGACCTCTGTTCTTGATTTATTTTTTTACATCTTTGAAACTGTATCAGAGGAAAAGAATGAATAGGTTTTATTAATAGACTTGTAACAATTAATATATTTATTTTACAAATTGATTCAATCAATATAACAGGTACAGTATAAAAGCAGTATGATTTACAGTTGAAATATTACTAAAAAAGCTACATACAAAACGATTAACAATATGAAAGGCTTTTTTGGAATGATTAAAACTGACAACTTCAGACATGTTTTTCCCTTGTATTATATCCAGCAATGGAAAGTTCTTAAGTGCTATCGTTTTTAATCTTTCTTTTCTTCAATTGAAAAAATATGTCTATAATACAACGTTGAGAGATTTTTCAGTGCTTTTTGTTTCGGAGAAATGATAATTAAATTTTTTATATGGTCTTGAAAAAGTATACCCTTTATTTTGTTACATTATTCAAATTGAGAAAAAAAGATTTAAATAATAATGCTGCTGACAAGAACTCAAAATAATTGTATTGACATATCAACGTTGTCTGTCAACTTTGGCTTCGTTTACTTTACAATTCTGGTCCCTTTGTCAAGGGAAATTTAGGAGATTGTAAAATCTAAGATTATTTGTTGATGGATTTGGCGAAATTCCTTATAATGTAGGTGTTATTTTTTTGTTTCACTTGTATATTTGTAACCAACTCCTTTGGACTCGATTTTGACAACTTTAAACTTTGTACACTTATTGAGAATTGGTGACAAATACAATAATTTCATAAGTTTATCTCATTATCCTGATCAGGATCGCCAGGATTAAATTTCCTCACACAGCCTCTGTGTGAGAGCAAGTGAGACAACCATACTGTCTGTGCATGCATATATATTTTATATTAAAACAAATGGGCTTGAAATAGCAAGCCAAACTAAAAAGTGGAAACTAATTAAGTTTTAAATACTAAAAAAACATGCTTTAATAGCAACACAAACTAAAAAATAATTTGAAACTAATTGAATTTTGTGTTCAACATTGATAATAAGTCCTATGGTTTGGTGTTACTAATGCCTTTCAATAAGTCTGAAATCAGAAATCTATTTCCAAGAAAAAAATTTTGTTGCTTAATATTGAAGAAGAAAGTAATACAAATCATGAAATTATGAAACAACAATTATTCATTGGCGCTTCGGGGCGACTTCATTGATTCCAGTGGCGCATTTGCTTTTTCAGGTACAGAAAAACATGCAGCCATGTTGTAAAAAAAGTGTGGGGTGCTAACCAAGTATTTATAGCAATGGATATTTAGCACCTCACGTTTTTTTTACAACGAAATTAATTTTTTGTAAATAGATTTATTCACATTTCAGACTTATTAAAAGTCATTAGTTACATCAAGCCATAAGACTTATTATCGATGTTGAACACAATCTTTAATTAGTTTTAATTATTTCAGTTTGTGTTGCTATTAAATCCTGTATTTTTAGTTTTTTAAACTATTATTTATTGGTTTTTCTTTACTATAAGTAATTGTGGTTATACTATTAATGACGGTGGGACACCAAAAAAACCACTAGGTTTATCTTCTTCTTACACCTGCTCGTCATTGCTTGTTCGTAATTTTTTGGCCTAAAACAGCACAGTAATCAAGCCTCAGCCACCGTATTCACCAGATTTGTCCCCTGCGACTTTTTCCTGTTCCAAAAAGTGAATATCAGAACTGCTTCGAGGATTGGAAAAAATGATGGCACAAAAGTATTATACCTGAGGGGCTAAATAAACAGATTTTGAATAAAATTAAAATGAACCATATTTTTTTGGAGAGAAAGTAAACTGTTGCACCAAGTTTTGACTTAAAATTCCTGATTGCCGTCAAAGTAAAAAAAACTAGCACAAGCAGTTAAGAGGAATGATTATTATTTTCGTTCCTTTACAGTGGAGGCGGGGGGTGCGGCCCGCCCCGGGCGGCACTTTTTAGGGGGACAAAATTTTACAGTAAATGATAAAATACATTTTGTAAATATTTGAACCATTTCACATTTTAACGCAACTATAAACTAAAGCATAGCCCAGTCAGTGGGCTATGCTTGAAGACTGGCAGTAAACAAATCTAAAGAAATGAACTTTAAATGTTCAAGCCAGTCTCGATATACCTACACAGTAGGTTGAATAGACTGACGCACATCAGAAAACAACTACTCCCCTGGCTAATACCACGAAGGGTGTTGGATTATATCCGACAGGCGTCAGTCAGGAATCTTCACAGAAAATTTCCTGCATATGCAATTGGCAATACAACTGAAAGAGTCGACCTTCAATTTTGGAACGGGCACACTTGCAGACTGTAATGAAATACTCTGAAAGAATTCCGATTTTCAATTATTGAATATTGTTGACTTTAGGTCGATGATGGTCACTATCTTGCACTGACGAGTGGCTAATGAGCCCGAAACCGGTCTGTAAGTGTGCCTGTTCCAAAATTGAAGGTCGACTCTTTCAGTTGTATTGCCAATTGCATATGCAGGAAATTTTCTGTGAAGATTCCTGCACTGAACGCCTGTCGGATATAATCCAACGCCCTTCGTGGTATTAGCCAGGGGAGTAGTTGTTTTCTGATAGGCGTCAGTCCATTCAACATACTGTGTAGGTATATCGAGACTGGCTTGAACGTTTGAAGTTCATTTCTTTAGATTTAATTTTATATTGAATTGAAATACCTAATCAAGAGGGCGGCAAAGTTGTCTTCCGCCCCGGGCAGCCGATATCCACGCTACGCCACTGCTTTGCAGATATTTTTTTGTTATTCCCACCTATCACTCTTGCCATTTTTTTTTTCTTACTGTGAGTTTTCACATGATTAATTAAGCAGGAATTGTATTTGGTCTCGAATGAACATATTGTACATTTGTATGATTCAAGTTGAGAAATACTTCTATGAGTCTTCACGTGATTTTTTAGAGAACCTTTCACTTTTGTTTTGAAATCGCACTCTGCACATTCAAACATCTGCGGATTTTCATCGTGAATGCGCTTCATATGCGCTGTCAGGTTGCCGGGCAAGTTTGTCTTGTAAGTACATAAACTACACTGAATCTCTGATAACTTGTGACGTCTTATGTGTGATTGCAGATAGGTTTTCAATTTGAAAGACTTGTCACACAAGTGACACTTAAACTCTTCTGTTTTGGTTGAACTTAGGTGTTTCTGTTGGATATGTAATCTCAAGGATTGCTTGCGTATATTTTTGAATGAACAAAGGTTACACTGTAATAACTCTGGAGAATCGTTATGAATTATACTGTGCAATTTCAAACTGTGTTTATCTCTCGCTTTATATTCACATAAGTCACAATTGAATGTTTCCACTTCACTGATATCCTTATGAAGTGCCTCATGTCGAATGACTTTATCTTTGTAAATTGATTTATATCCGCAACTTCCGCAATAAAAAAGTGTACTCTTGGAACGGTCCATGTGAACTCTTGAATGATTTTTCATGTACTGCTTGCTATATGTTTCATAAGAACACTTCTCGCACTTGATTTTCTCCAGTTCATTAGGATCTTTGTGTCTTAATATATGTCGGTCAAAATCTCCTTTAGTATTAGTTTTATAAGAGCAATCAGGACATTTCCATTTTTTAGTACGCCCGGCATCAGAATGATTCTTTTTAATATGTTGGCGAAATAAATACTTATGATTCGTTTCCATCGGGCATTCCTGACACTTGAACAGCTTCTCCTTTGATGGATCAATATGAACAATCATGTGCCTTTTTAATCGATATTTACATTTTGTCTTGAACGAACATTCTTCACATTTGAAGTTCAATAGATTAGGATGCTCGATTTCTTCTTTTGACTTTTGACTATTTTCTCTAACATCAGTTTCTCCACTTCTAGGCACCGGCTGAATGCTGAAAGAAAAACTTTTGAAAATCGTATGAAGTGTATTCTGGTACTCCACCTAGAGATTGGTTGTTAACGTTGTTATTAAAAATATAATATAACAATCACTCCTACCTGACATTGGGTAGCTCCCAATTTTCATTTAATTTCAAACTACTATCATTTGGAGACAATATGAATGTGAAAGACTCATCACACCCTTCAACGTTATTCCTTGGTCCACAAAAGCTCATCAATTTTTCTTCATTTGTTGAATAATCTTTCATGAAATTGATGAATTCCTTGAAATCATCATAGCATATTGCACAAATGATGGGATCGGCAGTAATATTAGACTTCTAAAAAAGTGTATACAAATGAAGTTCATCATGGAATATTAACAATTAATGATTCATTTAATTGATAAACATTTTTATAGCAAAATGTATTTATAAATATTTTTTGCCCAAAAGTAACATATACTCACCATTTCAGGAAGATATTCTTTGAAAAGTTCTTCCAAAGTTGTTTTTTCAATCGAAGTATTTCTTAATTCTACATAATTATCAGCTAATTCCAAACACAAGCGACATACTCTCAATTCCTTGTGGAGATGATCTGCTCCTCCTTTTACTGCAAAGTATATTTTTTGTAGGTCCAAAATTTCATTTGTCTCAGAATTCGTGTATGGAAATAAAACATCTTCTGTGTCAGTATATTTTGATTTGAACTTGAATGCATTTTCTAGGCGATCACGGCATTCATTACATAACATTGGTTCAGTGAAGCATATCAATTTCTGAAATAAAAAACATTGTCACTTTTTGTTCTCAGTTGAATGAAATTATATAAATTTATGAAGCTTGATGAGATAGTAATTATGGAAATCTGCAAGTCTGTGAAGAACTTGCAAGTGATGGAATCTAAACGATAGAATTATTTCTGACAGTTTTAAAAATATTTTAAATAGTCAAAACATTTCCCAAATATTGCAGCCACTGATTATGGAGATATTGGTGTATTTTTCTTGTAATTGAAAAAAAAACCTGTCAAAAAGTCTCCTCATATGTATTGCTATATTATTGGGGTTTGAAAATATGTGAAACACTTCAACTATTTGTTACAGGTAACTTCTTAACTCACTTGAAAATTGCCACAAATAACTGTTATTCCCTTGAAATATTAAGATCAGACTTTGGGATATTCCGTATTAGGAAAATAAAACTTCTGAAACATTCACCTCTCCCAAAGCTCCTAAATTAACGGATCTGGCAAATGCTTGCCGGAAGACAACTACTTTCCCGGCTAATATCACGATGGACATTGAATTATATCCGACATTTTAACCAGTTCCTCATTAGAAAACTCCTGCAGATACTTCTCATTCATCCAGCAAGAGGAATCATTATCTTAATATATAATCATAAATTCATGATCAAAGGTACTTTGGTAAAAATCAGTGCAAATTGATGATTGATAATTCAATTCTGGTAGTAGTACTTTTTTGGTCATCACTGTAATAATTTCCATATGATTGAATAAGGAACCTACTCCAAACCTCTTAAAAGTGCTGCGCTATAATCGAGAATAGTTAAAACTCATTAATACAGTTTAATGTATTATTTTCACTATAAAGGGTTTTACAGAAACCGTGATATGTGTTTCTCTATACAATAGCTTTCTCAAGCGTTAATAATCAAGAATATTTACCAAATTCAGAATTTCTACTATTTCACTGGTTATTCCTTCAAGCTTTTCACAAGATTCAGAAGGTTTTATCTTCAAACATATTCTGCATATTACATTGTTTGTTTCTGTATAATTCATAATTTCTGTAATTCAAATTTAAGCTTTTTGTGAAGTTGAAAATAGTATTAAATTAAACCCAAACATATGTTATTCTGAAGTCAAAGACCAAAATGTGTTTTCTGAAATTGTAACTTGTAACATATTTATGCAGGATAAACGAAATGATTCGTCATAACTTTGTGACGTCACTGATAATACGACCTGCCAGCACAGGCAGATGGGAATGTCAAAACTACTGTATCAAAACTGTCAACTGTGAAAAGGAAAACTAAAACCACAGAATACAAAATAGCAAGAAATTAAAATTGAACAACAGACCAACCGTCTCACGGTAATTGGAGTTAGTTTGATTGGAACTTGGCTCCTGTGTTTAGGAGGGAGAAAATATCAACCTCACTTTCTATAATAATCTTGAATTTCAATCTTCCTCTTGTAAATGATTACTTGGTGATTGAAACACGGGCCGAGGTGGTAAAAATAACGGTTTGGTGTTGGGATGGAACTTCATTAATATTCATTATTACACCAAAGGTTCTAAACATTGCATTTCCAAAACTGAAAATCATGAAAGGACTTCAATAACAAAAGTATCACTTCAATCTTCAACTTTACTTTACTCTTTGATCTTTAATAATCATAAACCATGTGCTCGTCGCTCAAGGAATATGTTCGTACGCGACTCCAATCAGTAACAAGTGACGTATGACTGTGATGTTATGTTATTTGTTTTATCATTTCATGTCAATGTTTTATCCTTAGAACATGATGTTCTATGTTCTAAGGTTTTATCATTTTATTGCTCTAAGGTTTTAGTATTTTACCATTTACCTGGAGAAATTTAGTATATTATATAGTATATAGTAAATTGCACAATTGTGGGTAATTGAATTTTTTCTCTCCCATATGTTTATTATTTCAATATATGATTATATTAGAAGTTGAAGATAAAGGTAAGCATTACTTTTTTCATTTTTTTCCACAAAATGATCATGTTATAAAACATTTCAGTATCATCAAAATTTTCCACCACCTTGGGGTGGTTGAAACTGGTCTGCAGTGACTCAACAATGTATTTAGATCTTGATACATAAAGCTGCTCATTAAAAAACATCATGTCCTCTCATACTAGTGACGAAAAGACTTTTCCAATTCCTCGCTCTACTTACTTGGGTAACAATTCTCAAAATTCAAATGTGGGTTTTTCAAATTTGGAACCTACTGCTCAAGAATTTTACCCTGCAAGTGCAGGCTTCCATAATGGAGCCGTTAAAAAAAGACCACAGCAGCAGTTCTACAATAGAAACAGGATTAGGGAAAATGGAAGAGGACGAAATAGGTAAATAATATTAATATACCTTTTCAATGATGTGTAAAAATGTTATCAATATAGTTTTTTGATGTTATGATTCTAGTATTCTTTTTAATTGTAGTTCAGTTCATTCTGTTATTTTTTCTGTCTTGGAATCCTACAATAAAATTCCCTGCTGAAAATATCAATTCATTAGCTCAATTTTCTCAAGGACTTACTCATCAAGATTTTCAGATTTTGAAACAAAAATACTAATTAATGAGTTTTATATTGTCTATTGAGCACCTCACTGCCGTACACTCAGACATTTCTTTTTTCAGGTTTGGCACTGGTCGAACATTCAATGGTTTCAGAAATGATTACAGTGCTGGTCACATGAAGGGCAGAATATCCTACAACAATAGTAGTGAAAATTCAGAAGATATAAATAAGGAGGGACATTATTTACAATCAACTGAAGAAAAAATGTTTGTAAACAATCTAGACCAATACTCAACTAAACATGTGACTTCTGCTGATAATAAAAATCTGGGAGAGTCCAGTTTTTCACAAAATAGGTATGTGGATAGTCAAAACAAGTCTACTTCAGGCTCTTCCAGGTCATTCAGAGGATATGGGGGAAATTCAGAAAAGTCAAAAAGAAACTTCAACTCGAATAAGAATTTCGAGAGAAACTTCTATGAAAACACCCACCAGAATTACCATAGAAATCTTCAGTCTTCTGAAAAGTTTCAACAAAATTCTGAAAAGTTCTGTCAACCTCATGAAAAATCCTTCCAAAGTTATGATCAACCTCCTGAAAAATTCAGCCAAAATTATGATAGATATTTGCAACGAAATGTTGAGAAACCAAAATTCAATTATAGGGATAAAGGCAGAAAATACGGAAACGGTAACTTTTGTAGATATGATGGTAATAATGTTTTTTCTGACAATAAGAGGAATCAAAATATGCCAGACCATCAGACAGACTATAAATGGGGTGACAGTGAATTAAGAGATCATGTAAAGTTGAATCCATTTAAAATGGGTTTCAAACCTCATTTTGAAAATAGGGCTAATAATAAAACTGATGAAGGAGGATCTTCAAATGATTGGAGAAAATCCAGAACTAATGATGAAAAAACTTCGAATGAAAAGTCCAATAAAAAACGTGAGTATTGTTTTCACTAGTTGTTGTCAAAAAATATGAAAAGGCAACATAATCTGTTTCATCTCGATTCTGCAAGCTCTATAATGGGCAACAAAAAAAGATTTAATCATGATTGTCATTCTGCTTTCAATAAATTGAATTATCACATGAAGAACTGAAAATATCGTAGAATTAAAAAAAATATTAAAAGAATTTATGTTAGCATTTCTTTACATTAACCTCTTATTGAATTCCAGTTGATGCAGCATCTCAAAGAGTGAGATTGGTGGAAATGTTGTCTCGTCGTATTTTAGAATGCCTGGTTTGTTGCGAAAAAATTAAAAATAGTGACAAAGTTTGGTCGTGCATACTTTGCTATCACATTTTACACCTTCACTGTGTATCTGCTTGGGCGAAATCATCTAAAATAGAAAACAGTTGGAGATGTCCGGCATGTCAAAATGTCTGCTGTGAATTACCTGAACAATACAAATGTTACTGCGGTAAGATGTTAGAACCTAGATACGAAGCTGGTACTATACCGCATGGCTGTGGAGAAATGTGCCTGAGAAAAGGCCGTACATGTGAACATAAATGTACTATATTATGCCATCCAGGACCTTGCCCAGATTGCACAATAATGGTTGCAAAACCCTGTGGCTGTGGGGCAACAAAACCGATAGTAAAATGTAGTAATGATGTAGAAATTGTTTGCGACTCGCTTTGTAATAAAACATTAGAATGTGGTGCACATAGTTGCAAATCGAAATGTCATTCCGGACTATGCAGCCCTTGCGAAGAGACTATCATTCAAGAATGCTTTTGTGGCAAAGAGGGAAGGAAGGTGGCTTGCTGCGCAGAATATAAGGGTCAAACTCATTATAACTGTGGAGAAGTATGTGACAAATTGTTATCGTGTGGCAACCATAACTGTCAAAAAATATGTCATGATGGACCCTGCGATGTTTGTGTCCGAGATGTTGATGCTGTTCAAACTTGTCCTTGCGGGAAGACACGTCTGCTGAAGCCAAGAACATCTTGTTCTGATCCGATTCCATGTTGTGATAAGGTATGGTTACTAGATAATAATAATAATAATAATATTTATTCACCATTTGTGATTATTTACAAAAAACAGTACGTCACTTATGAATAAAATTATGGGATCAAAGCTTGAATAAAAATTAATTTTTGCATATACAAAGGTATAGGTACATATAGATATATAAAATGCTAATTAAAAAATGTTCATTTATTTTGAAAGTTCAACAGGGATAGACAGCATCAACAAATCTCAAAATAAAGTTAAACTTCACTAGTAAGTGAAATACTGAACAGGAAAATGAACACCAATAGTTTTACATTAGCGACCGTTGGTATTATTGAATATATTTTTGTTGTTCTTCAGAAGTATGCAGTACTAAAATATCTAGATATACGAGGGTGATATGAAAGTTTTGACCTAACAAAAATACATGACATTTTTTCTTTTTTTTTTTCAACATAACTCTACACACTTCTATGATCGATGCTTCCATCTCTGTAACCCGTCCAAATAGTATTAGGGGTTTTTCTCTGCAAAATAATTGTTCACGATGGTGATTGCCCCTTCATTAGACAAAGAGCTCTGTTCTCCAAGCGCAATTTTTAGATGAGGGAACACAAAGGATCTGGTGAGTAAGGCGGATGGTTAAGCAGTTAAAATCGTAGTTCGTGGATTTTCGCCATGGTAATAGCTGAGGTGTGACAGTGTATTATCTTTGTGAAACAGGATTTTCTTTTTCCGCAAATGTGGCCGTTTTTCCGTCTTTAGCTTCACAATTAATGATGCATAGTATTCTCCTGTAATGGTTTTTCCTTTTTGAAGATAATTTTCAATTTTTTTTATTAAGAATATAACAACAGAGTACAGTTCATCACAGTTGATACACTATAAATATAAAATATGTTGTTATTCTCTCTAATCAGCAAAAATACTGGTCTCCGAATTCACAAACATTCAACATGACAAGTGAAACACGAAAACTAGAAAACTGAAATCAATATGATCGCAAATATATACCGAAATACCTCCAACTCTTCCTTCTCTGCAGGAATCACAGCCATTCGTATAAAACAATGTATTTCGTCCAACTTATTATGCAAACTTTGCATATTAGCATAGCAAATGCGAAGTTTATTTTTCAGTCTAAGAACTAGTTTTTTAGGTCATCTTCGTCGTTAATTAGGTTAAATTCGCTACCTTTGTCCTTTAGAAAAATATTTCCATCCTTGACCTAGACAAACCTGAAATTGTGTTCCTTTCTGAACTTCCTGACCATTTTATATAGCTCCTGTTTTCTCTTTGTAAGATATGGTCAATGTATATACGTTCAATCGAAGGGTTATCGAAACTGATATCTTTGGTAGTGAACTTGCCGAAATGTCTCCTTACTCCCCATTTTTTTCACGATCTTCATTAGGTTTTCTACACTTTCTGATTCCGGAACTCCCTTAATCATAATAATGTTGTTACTAAGTTCTTTCTGTTCCCTAACGTCAATTTCATGGTTTAGTTGTTTTCTTATTTTGTTTTGTAGTAATGTGACAAACACACACGTTCTTTTGACATGTTCATAACTTCTGCTATCTCTCTCTCTCTCAATTCGGTGGTCATTTAGCACCATTTGGTGAACTTTGGCGATGTTTTCGTCGGTAGTTGCAGTTTTTGGATGTCCCGAACGTTCATCTTCTCTCAAGCTCTTACGGCCACAGTTAAATTCAACTGCTTAACATGTGATACAGAGTCCCCATACACAGAGAACAACTTATCTTTGTTTGTGTAGGCGTATTGCCTTTCAAAAACAAATATTTAATGACATCTCAACACCCGATTTCGTCTATTTGAATTAAAACACTCCATCAACTCACTCAAACCACTGTTACATAACTGTGCGTCCAAAATGGCTGAAAATCTGGTGAGTAACAGATGAACAACGAAATTCACTAGCTTTTCTTTACGAGTGGTGCCATCTTCATGTTGAGGTCGGAAAGTTTTTAGAGCACCCTCGTTTATCTATAAACTTCAATAGAGGTAGAGTGGTTTGAATTATGTTGATATAAAAAATGGTTTTTATACAAAATAACTTGAAGGTAAAAATATTTCAGAAATAATTTTTTCTGTCTCAATGAACATTTACACCTAAACTGGAAAACACTCTTTTTATTTGATCAATTCTATTCTCTATCTATGAGTAGATATCTGGATATATCATTAGATGAAAAGAAAATCTTGCATTTTACCTAAATTAAGAAAAACTCATTGAACTTTGCGTCATTTATTGTCATACCTTCTGAAAATGAATCTTTCTTGTGCTTCCTTTCAAAATAATCAATTATCTCGATTACGAATATCTGTTTTAGATTTGTGGAAAACCTTTGAAATGTGGCCAGCCTAATAACCCTCACAGGTGTGAACAATATTGTCATGAAGGAGACTGCCCTCCTTGTCCATTGACTACCGTTGTCAGATGTCGTTGTGGCAACATGGACAAGGAATTGTCCTGTCTAAAACTGACTACCAAGGCTGATGATGCTAGATGTGAAAAAAAATGTATCAAGGTTAGTCATCTTTGCACTACTGTTGAATATGTTGGTGTGTTTCCTTCTAATTGTTGTTATCATTTTATATAGAAACGGTCTTGTGCTAAACACAAATGTAATCAACGCTGCTGTATAGAAATCGAACACATCTGTCCTCTTCCATGCAACCATCAACTGTCGTGTGGTCAGCACCGTTGTGAACGTACTTGCCATTCTGGAAGATGTCCTCCTTGCATGGAAACCAGTTTTGAAGAGCTCTACTGCGAATGTGGAAAAAGCGTTCTTTTCCCACCCATTCCCTGTGGTACCAAACCGCCCAGTTGCAGTGAACCATGTTCCAGACAGCGACCATGTGGTCATGAACCAAACCATTCTTGTCATACCGGTCCCTGTCCTCAGTGCACCGTCTTGTCCAAAAGGTGGTGCTACGGAAAACATGAACAACGGGCAGCAATTCCCTGTCATCAGCAGAATTTCAGTTGTGGTTTGCCATGTGGGAAAGAAATGCCCTGCGGCAGACACAAATGTAACAAACCATGTCACGATGGTCCTTGTCCGAGCCCTTGCAGACAACCTTGCACCGTTTTGAGAAGTTTATGTGGGCATCCCTGTGGCAGACCATGCCACGACCCTCCATGCCCAGAAAGCAGTTGTAAGCAAAATGTACCAATCACCTGTTTATGCGGGGTCCAAAAAAGTACAAGACCTTGCATAGAAGTAGCAGACGAATTCAAGAACTTGCAGATGGCACAGATCAAAGAAAAAATGGGTGTTTTATCCGTTAGTCACGCTGTTGATATATCGGACATTCTTTATGTTCCTATGAAACCTTCTGTGCTCAAAATGTAAGTATACAGAATTTCCTTCTATTGAGGACTCCTAAAATGAATCGAAAATTTCGTAGGCATTCATGGTACATTGAATTGAAATGAGTTAATTTATTAAAATTATTTGCATAATTTTTGCATATTTGCAATGAATTAATTCAATGAAAACAACTTTCGAGTATATAAATGAATAATTTACTTATATAAGGCAATCTAAAACCTGCTATCAATTTATGTTTCAGAAGTTATTGAAATGATTGTTATTTTATAAATGAATGTTCATTGTATTTTGTTGTACAATTTGGTTAACTGCTACTAATTTTTCTCTGATCTTGAGAAAATTTTTACTGAGTTTGTGAATAATATAGAATTATTTTGTTTCAAAATTACGAAATAAATTCATGAAAATGACAATAAGGAACATTGCTTGAAATTTGGTTCAAACTACCAACTCTGAGTTGGCATTTATTGTGACAAACAACATTCCTCTAGAAATTTCTGATTTATAACAATTTGTTTGTTTTTTTTCAAGTTTGGAATGTACAGAAGAATGTAAAGTTTTGGAGAGAAATCGTAGACTAGCAATAGGGTTGCAGATACGGAATCCAGACCTCAGCCAAAAGCTAACACCGAAGTACTCTGACTTCATGAGACTGTGGGCTAAAAAAGACCCTCATTTCTGTCAAAGAGTTCACGATAAACTAACTGAGCTTGTACAGTTGGCCAAGAACAGCAAACAAAAAAGTCGATCCTACTCCTTTGAGTCGATGAATAGAGACAAGCGTCATTTTGTTCATGACTATTGTGAACATTTTGGAGTGGAGAGTGCCGCATATGATGCAGAACCGAACAGGAATATAGTAGCCACCGCAATCAAGGATAAATCCTGGCTACCTAGCATGGGCCTCCTAGAAGTAATTCAAAGGGAAAATGGACAAAGGAAGGTGCCAGGACCAATGTCGGTGTCAAGTAAAGGTACCCCAAGTAAGCCTGAAACTGTGTCATTGAAGTTGCCTATCAGAGTACAAAGGGCTGGTACCCCTCCCAGTGAAGTTGATAGTTACAATCCACCTTTATAGAACCGTATATTTTTACATTTATATGCAAGTTTATCTGTTATTTTCATTTAATAAACAAATAAAGTTTCATTTGGTTCAATTAATGTCTATTATTATTACTGTTAAGTATTGTGTCATGATTGTTACACAAGTTCTCATTGTAATCATCGATTATCTTTGATATTTTTGATAGATAAATAATTTTTTTTAATCTCCATTAATCATTTACATGACATAAGTCCAATGGTAGTCATAACATCAAGTAATTGATAGAGTTAAATGAAATGAATAAAAACACTTTTGTCTGAATACCACTGGAAAATTTTATTTATATGACCGGTTTTGGGTTTGATCCCATTATCAAGTATAAAACTGGAATCTGAATTTTGAAACATTACAGTTTCTTAACTTCATTCCCTTAATATTTACAAAACAAATTCACCCACAGTAGGGGGTGAGAGTGAGTCTGGCAGATATATTCATGGCTTGTAATTCTGTAATAAGTAGCTTGCAAGCATAAGGCATGGTTATGGTCGATACTTGTCCAGAGCTTTTACAACTGTTGCACCATCCGCAATATCCTAATCTACCACACTTGTTGCAAACATCTACCTGACATTGATCACTGGACACCATCAATCTTTCAATAAGCATATTACTGGAAAAAAATACCATACATATTATTCACAGAGTAACATTTAGTGTCACTATTTTTCGGGTTCGAAGGCTGTGGATTTTTGGAATTTCTTCCTGACGTTTCGCTGGCGCGATTGGCTAGCTTCTTCAGAGGTTTATACATTTTGAGTTAATATCTCCGATGAGTTATCGGTGGGACAGCAAAACGTCAGGCAGCAATTCCAAAAATCCACGGCAGTAACAAAATTTATCATGCAAATTGAAGTCGAAAGTTTTGAGAACAAAACTATAATAAAAACTATATGAAACATTTGACTCTAATCAAAATTTCTTTTTTTATTTTTGAAGAGAAACATTAGATATGCAAATTTTTGAGTTTATATCCACATAATTGTCTATAAGACTGTTTAAAGTTCGATTTTAGAAAAATGCAAAATGTTATTTTCATCAAAAGATTTTCAATCTCTTCTCGTATCTGTTGAGTACATACAAAAAATTCAACTGTTCTTTAAATATTTGAACAGATATTTTTATGCAGTTACTCACGTCTAAAAATATGTAACAATCAGAATATTTGGGGAAAAAACTGAGGTTTCCAGTTTAAAAAATCTTTAAGTTTTCATGTAAATTCTCAAATTGTAACAATCCCTTAATTTTTTGCAATATATTATTTATTTTTGCATCCACATGACAGATTTTTTTAATTTTTTGATATTTATATTTTCCGAGTTGAACATATATTATGTGGGAAAGGGAACGAATCAGGCAGTGCACTCCGTGTAATAAAGATAAGAGATTTCGTTATGGAAAATTTTACATATTTGTCTTGAAATATTACTTACAATGGGAGCCATTCATTAACAAGTAGTTTCATACCATTCAATCATAAATTGGCTTAGTTTTCAATTTTTATCAAAATTTCAGGTAGTATCTAAGAAAAAAAATCGAGATTACCTGGCACCATAACCGATGAGACAATCTCTCTCCATTTCTCCTAATCGCAAACCACCATCTCGACTTCTTCCTTCAGTTGGTTGTCTGGTCAAAACAGCTCTAGGACCGCGTGCCCTGAAAGTTCAAATCGTTGAAACACTTTTCTTGTTGTAAAACGCAAATGTATATTTATTTTTACTAGCAATCAAAATTTGTATGTATATATTATGTTAATTCTAGCATCAATCCGTATTATTATAAACGCCACCCTATACCCATTTACCTCTTTAATATCGTCACACTTTTATTTCCTCAGTAAATGTGACAACTTGTTTATTTTGAACAGATCACCCTATATACATTGCACGTCAAAGAGTTTGAGGAAGGGAAAATTTTTGTATCATTCATGTCCACAGGTTTGAAAAATAAGTTAAGTCATTGCCATTTTTAAAACAGGTTAGATGAATGACATGAAAAACTTTGGACCCATCACCTTGCTGTTTAACTTGCGAAGGAATTTGAGATATGTATCTACAATAGAATATCTCCTAAAGTACAGTATATAATAATTCCTGAACAACATGGCTTCATCACAAAAAATCTACTATAACTAATCCAATGACATCACACAAACGATAACTTGAAACTTGTGCTTTAGAAAATAGCTTCAGGTAGACCCAGAGGACACAAATAAGATGAATACAGTGCTACCAGTGGCGCTACACAGAGGGCGCCACTATTCTTCCCGTTCATCAACGATATAGGATTAAATATAGATAGTGACGATGCTCTGAAGATTTTTCATATCATAGAGTCACCTAATGAGAATGAGATACTACAAAATGCTTTGAATAAATTAGCTCTTTGGTGTTCTCAAACAATTTTCCACTCAAGTCAAGTAACTACCTTGTGTAGCGAACATACCACTATTGAGCACAAGTATTCGATAAATGATTATTTGCTGGTAAAAACAGACAGCTGCAAAGGCTTGGGAGTAAACTTTGATACCAAACACATTCACACTTCACATAGAAAATATGTAACTGCTGGGAAAAGAATGTTAGGGCTCATATTTAAAAACTGTATAGATTTCGAAAATATGGAAAATTTCATTACACTCTTCAATTAATTTGTTAGATACTGTCTAGAATATGGCGTCTTATCTGGTCTCCTATTTATACTACACACATTCAATTGCTTGAATGTGTCCAACGACGGTTCATAAAATATGTGACCTACAAACATCAATTATTTCAATGTCTGATATTACCTGGCATGGATTTTATCCTGTACCATATGCTTGAGCTTCTGGTAGTAAACAGGTCCTGAATAAATGTATGCTTCAAGCGGATCTCCAGTTATCCCAGAGTAATACACATCTTTGCCTAAATAATTGAAACCATGATTTGCCAACTCCTCGCTGACATCACTTACTTTCGAACCACCGAAGGCAGTTCCGTAATGAAATTTGCCTGAAAACAATAATTCAGCTCAGAATCAATCTGAAAAACCAAAAATCGAATAATCAAGGAACTTCTCCGTACCTTCGAGCAATCCTGCTTTTCCTGCTAAAAGTTCTATCAATTTTCCTACTGTCATCCTAGAAGGATATCCATGAGGGTTCATTATAATATCGGGACATATGCCTTGTTCATTAAACGGCATATCTTCTTGTTCCACAACTAATCCTGAAGTATTAAAATATTAAATCATTAAAATTGAGTTGTGATATAGTTTTTTAATAATGCCAAAATGAAGACGAAAATCAAACTGAATATGTGAACCTATTGAAAAATAGAACATTTGAAAAATACCCATTTTCCTGAATGGGGAATGTTCCTCAATTTGGGTTATTACAGCAAATGCAAGTTTGAACAAAATAAAGTTAGTTTAATTCATGAGTTTTTCAAATTCACTTCGAAAAGTATTCAAATTGACGTTTCAAATAATGGGTTTTAATTTTTAAAGGAATTTGTTTCTAATTCACATATTGGCAACAGCGCCTATATCAAGTTGAAGTAATTTATACATACCTGATGGTAGAA